AATTATTACGATTCGCTAGTGTAGTTAGTTATCGCATCAAAACCTTTATGAAGACACGAAGAAGATTGAAAGGGTAATAAACAACTTTATTAATTAGGAATTCTACAAGCCTTTTCTTTAGATTATTCAATACAAACTAGAATAGTCTAATTAAATCTTTGAGAGAAACTTTTACAATTTGATATTTTCTCTAGATTGAATTCCCGGTCTATTTATACAAAATCGTTGTTTCAATTTACTAGCAAACATAATAAATTTAACAATAAAACTAATATAATAGAAATAATAAATAAAACAGATAAAATAAATAAATAAGATATGTAAAACATATTTGATATGTCTGTTATAGCAGACATGTTTGACATTTTTGATATGCACTGCAGTTGCTGCGCCAATCGTAGCGTTAACACCGGTCATTTGCTGGTATAACATAAGCGAAAAAGCGAATAAGTTTATTAATGTGCACCACCAAATTTTCACTAGATCGGCACCAATAGAAATAAACTCGCTCTACTGGAATACTCGTTGTTTTAGTAAAATAAATATTAGTTAATATATAATTATGAATAAAATCATAATAGTTTATCTGTAATTGCGCGATAATCATCAATATTGTTGCACGCAGTTCGTGACGTTTATTGGTTATAAACAATAGAAAAGGTAAGCAGAAGGTTTCTTTATTGAAATGAATTAAATTTATTTATTAACAACAAGAGAAGTTTAACATAAATCTACGTAAATAAAGTATTTCCTCAATCGTCGGCGCTCTATACGATCAGATACGCAATTTATTATATATTTTCATTATCGTTACAAATAAAAGGGAAAGGGGATATATGCTAATGTTATCTAGGGAATATAGGGAACACTTGATACGTTCTATTCAAGCGAAATCCCACCTCTTTTATACCTAAAACCCAGCAAGGACTAATTGTTGCCTTTTTGTCTTCGAAACATAATGGCCGGATGATATTGGCCAGGAGACAATCTGGCCTGCAGACAATTTGGCCAGGGGACAATTGGGCCATTGATCTACAAAAGTCTAACTAAATACTAACAAAACTTAAATTTAAACTAAACAGATGTCCTGGAACTAATAGAACACGATAGAACAATTAAATTACTTGTAACAATATTATGAAGCCAAATTTTACGTCCTTTTTTCTTTATTATCTTCTCTTTTTCCTTAAACCTAATTATAGAGGTTGGTCCGGTTAATTGTTAACCGGTTAAAATATTTAATCTTAACTAGCTCTTTAGTATATTTTATTAAACAATGGAATTTTAGAAACGATAAATGCAAATTAAAGTTCATTATAAGAAAATTTAGGTCAAACAAACTCATCATTATCCTATAGGGCCGTGTGATAAATAATGATAGAAATCTTATTGATATATCATTTCGTTATCGATGTAAAGTTAATAAGATTGAGAGTTTATGACTATCAAAGAAATTAGATGCCAATTATGGTGCATTCTTACAAGATCTTTACAGAGCGATTATTTTAGATTCAAAAGCTACAATACTGAACAAAAATTTGGAATTTTATGGATCAATTGCAAATACAGTTCTTAAAGGTAATCAAGTACATAGGTTGAAACTTCACGCTGGTGATATTGTAGAGCTAGAAGAAGGTATTGCATATGCTAGAATTAAGTCAATTTTTTGGCATCAAGCAAATAACAGTCAATATTACGGATATTTTTTTTATTGTATTGGTTTAAGGCAATAAGTACAATTAATCATGTATTGTAATGTCTACTTTACAATATACAGAGACCTGAAGATTCATGTTGGTTTTAGAATTTTTCCAATCGATTTTATTGTTCGTATTCCGTATGTACATTTTATTCACAATTGTACAAATAAATGTAATACAACATAATGAAACCAATCGAGTTACATTTTAAACAGATTTTATTACAATGCAGTATAGATAAAAACATATGGATTATTACTAAAATATTTTATTCTATTACTTTATTATTATTCTAAGTTAGTGATCTCTGGTTGTCTTTGTAAACTTTGTTGAACTTTAATTGAGGTGTTGTAATCGTACAAACCCTTACATTTATTGCTACAAATCGTATGGATGTTCAATCGCTAAGTTCAATAATTGGCTGTTGAAAAAATCACGTCTATTATGTTAGAAATAATGGAGCAAGCGAAGATTATTCACACAATAAATTTGGTTGGTTATGGTATGTTCTTTATTCATTAAATTTTGTAAAGCTTCTCTTAAGTTTAGAAAATTACTTTTTTAGAAGCAATGTAATGTGTCGTTGTCAAGATGAACAGCATAATTATGTATTGCATCACGTAAACATCAAAATATTGAACTTCCCAACTTATTCTTCTTAGTCTATATTTCAGAGTAATTACAGCGAAAAAGGACATTAGAATCACAAAATCAAACCATGAGCATGAATCTTATTTGTCTATTTAATATCTTTTTTACAAAAAATGAATTTACAAATATTATCAATTAAGATTAAATCTAAAAAGAAGGTCGATTAAAGATTAAAAGAAAGATCACACGATGAGAGAAATATTTTTTACTTATCATTTATATTACATTTTAGTATATTTCGATATATAATTAACATTTTACTTTATTTACTATATTTTTAACTGATTTTTGACATATTATTGTTATATAAAATAAAATTCTATATTATATTTCTAACAGATTTTCAACACATGATTTAAAATTTCCAAGTCATATGTTCGATATACTTTCAGTATATAATTATGAAATTTTCTATTTGTTATATTTCATATTTCTCGTATATAATTATGATATGATTAAAATTTTCAGGTCATATGTTCGATATGTTTTAGCATAGAGTTATAAGAGATGCGGAAATATTTTTGACATATTTCAAACATATCACTAACATATTTTTTTATTTTATAAGTTTCTGTAAAATACTTGTAGAAGTGATGCAACAGAAATATAAATAAATAAAAGAAACATTCGAACCCGAAGCTAAAAAGAAAGCAAAGTCAAGAAAATAAAACTGTGAAGTTTTATGAAATGTCGGCTTGATTAATAAATGATCCAATTGAAAAAAAAAAAAAATCCTTTCCATTTCTTCTAAAAAAGGTGAAATAATATAAGCAAAAAATAAAATAAAATGAAATAAATAAATCCGAAAATTTATTAAAAAAAAACCATTGGCCGTCGGAAGCAATTTGAACCTGAAAAGTAAAGAATTTAATATTCAATAAGAAAGGGCAAATGCTTTTTTTTTGTTATCAATTATTAATAATCGAAAGCTAAAATCGGAATTCGGAATCTTAGAATCGAAACTCGAGAAATGATTAATAGATTCTAAAATTGATTCTATCTTCTTTTATGAACATTCCGATTCCCCAGATATACTGTACATAAAAATAAGTATAGTAATATGCGCCTTTAAAATTAAAAAAAAAAAACTGCAAAATTGCAGAGATTATTAAACCTTTTAGGTTGTGTACTATAAAAATTCGCTCTAAATATTCGATATAAGGGAGGTTTTGGTTTTTAGATTTTTGACTAAAGTTTAATCCTTATTGCATTTTAATCTAATATTTATCAAAAATTAAAATGCAATAAAAATTAAATTTTATTAAAAATTCTCAGTACTCCATTTTCCTAGCAAGCCTCTCATAAGTATAACACATTGGTTTTCGTTCGACCAAATACCGAAAGTACGCGCCAGGTTCTTGTATCTGTTAAATAAGTTGGGTAATACATACTTACCCTTACAAATTTTGAAGGTGTATGCGATTATTGCACGTCTTAGTAGGATTTATGAATGTAAGTTTTTGATAAAGGTACGGTACTATTTTTTCGTACAATACATAAGACTTCCGCAAAGAGAAATATTTCTAAAATCAAATTTTCAACTGAATTATAAAAATAACAATTTGATGAAATCTACAGTTTTTGTATTTCAAACAATTATTATTTTCATATTTTGACTAATTATTTTCATGTAATAATGCTTTCTTTTATTTAATTAATTTGACAAACAACCGTTGAATCAAAATTACTCATGATCTTTATAATATTAACATAGTATCATAGGAAAGATATAGTAGAATCAGGTACGCCGAAATTTACAGGGAGGAGGAACTTCTAGGAAATCGAATTAAATCTAATTTATATATTATTTAGCCTTTGCTTCGACTATCCTCGATAATTTTACTCAATTGCTTAGCTCAAAATTGTTTTCTGAATAAAAGGTATATTTTTTTTTTACAACGAAACTTAATATAAAAAAGCTTAATATTTTAAAGGAAGATACTCCCTGGCATGAATATTCTTTTTGTGACAATACAATGAATGAAACGAAATAAAAAAAACTGCAAATTAGAAATACCAAACGCAACGTTGGATTAAACAATTTTCGCTGTTTCTCATTAGTTATTTTCCAATATATACTGTAGAAACATTCTTTTTTTAGAAGTCTACAGTTGAAATTTTTAGAACTTTACAGCTCACAAGCACGTTAATTATTACGCAATAATACCGTTTATAATGAATTGAATGGAGGATGTGCCATATATTTAATTTATGAAATATGGGAGGGGTCATGGATCCGTAACCAATCAAACAAATTTTTTTTTTTCGAGATTACATTTTAAAACTACTAAACTAGGGAGGCCTAAAATATAACTCATTCACAGCCATCCTCTCTGATTAAACTTTTGAATTAAACCTACTGAAAGAGAAATCTAATGGCACAAATCCGAAAAAAAAAAAACAAAAAATATTTTTTCGCTGCGCTTTGAACCTGGAAATTTTCAAAAGAGAAGTCGTCTAAATTAAGAAATCATTTTAAGACAAAAAAATAATATTACAAAAAAAATCAAATCATTTTGGATCCAGCCCGAAAGCAAATTAATTACTGTAATGAATAATAAAAATTATCAATTCATTTGATGCCGAAAGAAATCGTCTAAAAAATCGGCTAAAAGAAATAAAAAAACCAATTAACAAAAAAAAAATAAAAGTCTTAGCACAGCAGATCGAATGACTCTTCGTCAAGAATTCAGAAAAAAAAAATTAGAATAATTAATAATCAAAAAGCTTTTAAAAAAAATTTTAGAAAGATCATACCATAATATACTGGAATTATTTATAATTTCAGCCTAAAGTTATCAAAAGCAAAAAAAAACCACCTCTCTTTGCATTCAGAAATGACCAAGTCTGTCACAAAAAAAATTAAAACAACCTTATATCACGTTAACGATTCAATCCGTAAAAGGTAAGGACAAGATTTTTTTTTTTTGGAAAAAAGTGACGCATTATCATATCTAACTAAAAGTAGTTAGAGGAAAAAAAAACTTTTATCTGAAAAAAAACCACACTTCCTTTATAGGAACCAAGATTTAAGAAACTGGAACCTCCTCTGATCTTAGGATTGAAAGCCTCCAATAAAAATAAAAAAGTGAGCATTTAGTTATTTTTCTCAATTTAAGACTCCTCCTTTAAGAAATGGTTTCGATTTAATAATTAAAAACTTCTGCGGTTTCTAAAAAGAAGGAAGCATTTGATTACTTTTTAATTTTTTTTTTTTTAAAAAAAGGGTATATATCGTGTAAGAGTCGTTGAAAGAGTAGGAAAGGATTAGTTTTCATATCATCATATTTAATTTTAGTAAAATTAATAATTAAATTACGTTAGTATTAATAAAATTTTTTTATTTTTGTAATATTAAAAGTATGCCACACTTCTTAACCTTGTCCCCCGGGAGTAATCCATAAGATTTGGTGAAAGATTTATTATCTTTGTCGTCCATTTTTCTTCGTAAATAAAACTTATTTAAGAGGAACTTAATACTCAAATATATTTTTTGACGATAATACTGTTACTATTCAATAAAAAAAAACAACAGCAAAATTATTTTAAAAGTTATCCTACGAATAAAAAGGAATGTCTTCAAGAAAGTCAAAAAAAGTATTGATATTTGACTCGTTACATAAAGTATGTTTTCTCAAAAAACTATGCAAATAAACAATAAATAGTATCCTTTTTAATACTAAACTTTTCGAAATTTAATTTTTGAAAAGTTTTCAATTAGAAGAGAAATTTTGATTGACAATTTTTCGAAAAGTTATAGCCTCGTCAAATTAGCCGCAGTACTCAAAATTTGTCTGCATGCATTTTCGAATAGGAATAAAATTGTTTTTGTTGAAAATTAAATACAGAATGTAAATAAATCAACTATCTTTTTCATAAAAGTAAAAGTACTTTAGTATATGACGATTTATTCAAAAGTTATGCACCCTTTAAAATGGTTTACCAATAATGGGTGGTAGTGGCTCTACCAATAACGCGTGGTAGTGACCCTTTATTCACTCAAATAACGATATAAAGTGTTTATTTCATTTCAATAGCGATTTGGACAATATGTTAGGAATTCTGCCATAGATGCTTTGTTCAACTGCAGCCATTTTCGTGAATCCCATTTTGAGATGAGATTAAACTATTTAGCTTTCAATACTTACTATTTGTCGCTATTCATTGTAAGTTTCCATGTCAAATAAAATGAACTAGTAGATAAATTGCTAGCGTAGAAATTCAAGAACTTTATTATTTATTATTGCTTGGTAGAATTATTCGCATTGCAAAGCAATTTCATTTTATCAGATAATGTATTTATTAATTTCTTAAAATTTTAGCAATTAATCAGCAATAATTTTTTTAGATAATTAAAGCTAAACATTTGAATTCATAACTAT